CTCTTCACACCTGCCTTCCCCACACCTGCACTCTTCACACCTGCCTTCCCCACACCTGCACTCTTCACACCTGCCTTCCCCACACATGCACTCTTCACTCCTGCTTTCCCCACACCTGCACTCTTCACTCCTGCTTTCCCCACACATGCACCCTTCACTCCTGCTTTCGCCACACATGCACTCTTCACACCTGCCTTCCCCACACATGCACTCTTCACTCCTGCTTTCCCCACACCTGCACTCTTCACACCTGCCTTCCCCGCACATGCACTCTTCACACCTGCCTTCCCCACACCTGCACTCTTCATACCTGCCTTCCCCACACATGCACTCTTCACACCTGCCTTCCCCACACATGCACTCTTCACACCTGCCTTCCCCACACTTGCACTCTTCACACCTGCCTTCCCCACACATGCACTCTTCACACCTGCCTTCCCCACACCTGCACTCTTCACACCTGTCTTCCCCACATATGCACTCTTCTCTCCTGCTTTCCCCACACCTGCACTCTTCACTCCTGCTTTCCCCACACATGCACTCTTCCTCCTACTTTCCCCACACATGCACTCTTCACACCTGCCTTCCCCACACATGCACTCTTCACTCCTGCTTTCCCCACACCTGCACTCTTCACACCTGCCTTCCCCACACATGCATTCTTCACACCTGCCTTCCCCACACATGCACTCTTCACTCCTGCTTTCCCCACACATGCACTCTTCAATCCTGCTTTCCCCACACATGCACTCTTCACACCTGCCTTCCCCACACATGCACTCTTCACACCTGCCTTCCCCACACCTGCACTCTTCACACCTGCCTTCCCCACACATGCACTCTTCACACCTGCCTTCCCCACACATGCACTCTTCACACCTGCCTTCCCCACACATGCACTCTTCACTCCTGCTTTCCCCACACATGCACTCTTCACTCCTGCTTTCTCCACACATGCACTCTTCACTCCTGCTTTCCCCACACCTGCACTCTTCACACCTGCCTTCCCCACACCTGCACTCTTCACACATGCCTTCCCCACACATGCATTCACACCCTGCCTTCCCCACACCTGCACTCTTCACACCTGCCTTCCCCACACCTGCACTCTTCACACCTGCCTTCCCCACACCTGCACTCTTCACACCTGCCTTCCCCACACCTGCACTCTTCACACCTGCCTTCCCCACACCTGCACTCTTCACACCTGCCTTCCCCACACATGCACTCTTCACACCTGCCTTCCCCACACATGCACTCTTCACACCTGCCTTCCCCACACATGCACTCTTCACACCTGCCTTCCCCACACATGCACTCTTCACACCTGCCTTCCCCACACCTGCACTCTTCACACATGCCTTCCCCACACATGCATTCACACCTGCCTTCCCCACACCTGCACTCTTCACACCTGCCTTCCCCACACCTGCACTCTTCACACCTGCCTTCCCCACACCTGCACTCTTCACACCTGCCTTCCCCACACCTGCACTCTTCACACCTGCCTTCCCCACACATGCACTCTTCACACCTGCCTTCCCCACACATGCACTCTTCACACCTGCCTTCCCCACACATGCACTCTTCACACCTGCCTTCCCCACACATGCACTCTTCACACCTGCCTTCCCCACACATGCACTCTTCACACCTGCCTTCCCCACACCTGCACTCTTCACACCTGCCTTCCCCACACATGCACTCTTCACACCTGCCTTCCCCACACCTGCACTCTTCACACATGCCTTCCCCACACCTGCACTCTTCACACATGCCTTCCCCACACATGCACTCTTCACACCTGCCTTCCCCACACCTGCACTCTTCACACTGCCTTCCCACACCTACACTCTCACACTCCTTCCCACACCTGCACTCTTCACACATGCCTTCCCCACACCTGCACTCTTCACACATGCCTTCCCCACACCTGCACTCGTAAAAGGGAACATTCTCCTTGGAGAAAGAAATCATCAGTTTCCGCCCCACAACAGTCAACACCTGCCCTCTATTTCTGAGTTAGTATAAATGACTTGCCAGACGGTATAGGCAAGGTAAGAAAGAGGTTTGCAGCTGATGCCGTAATTAGGGAGCAAAGTAACAAAAATCCTGTGCCAAGTAATACAAATTCTGCGCACAGTAGCACGAATCCTGCGCAGAGTAGTATAAATCCTGTGCAATCCGGTGGGAAGCATAAGACAGAAGGTGAAGAGGTGCATGCTGGTAGACATCCTATGTTATGTGACAGCCGTAGCAATGAACACAGTACCGGGGAGATCAATGCTTTGTCCACAAATCAACACAGTACCGGGGAGATCAATGCTTTGTCCACAAATCAACACAGTACCGGGAGAATCAATGCTTTGTCCACAAATCAACACAGTACTGGGGAGATCAATGCTTTGTCCACAAATCAACACAGTACCGGAGAGATCAATGCTTTGTCCACAAATCAACACAGTACCGGGGAGATCAATGCTTTGTCCACAAATCAACACAGTACTGGGGAGATCAATGCTTTGTCCACAAATCAACACAGTACTGGGGAGATCAATGCTTTGTCCACAAATCAACACAGTACTGGGGAGATCAATGCTTTGTCCACAAATCAACACAGTACTGGGGAGATCAATGCTTTGTCCACAAATCAACACAGTACTGGGGAGATCAATGCTTTGTCCACAAATCAACACAGTACTGGGGAGATCAATGCTTTGTCCACAAATCAACACAGTACTGGGGAGATCAATGCTTTGTCCACAAATCAACACAGTACCGGGGAGATCAATGCTTTGTCCACAAATCAACACAGTACCGGGGAGATCAATACACTATCTACGGATCAACAGAGTTCCGGGAAGATCAAGAGAATACAGGTGCAAGAAATATTGCAACCTGCGCCACCAGTGTTTTTCGAATGCTTCATTCTGCAGTTCATTTTTAATGAATAAAATTCTGAAGCACCGTGAGGGCGTCTTCTCTCCTCCTCCCGCTTATTGACCAACATACTCGCTACTGCTTACGAAAAAATAAATCTCGTCTGACGGTATTCTCAAGCACTTTGAAATGTTTGTTTTTTCATATGCTTGTTGCCCGTAAAACACGCAACTCACTTGCGCCACCTAGCATGCTTGTGGAGATTCCTACATACATTACGACCATCCTGCACACACTGGGATGTCGAACAGGGGAAGAGGGGGGTCAGTCCCATAACAATAATAGCAGGCTTCTGGTCAGTAACCACGGGACCAATCACAGATCTTAATACCACCCATTTGGATACCAGCGTCTGAACCAATCACATACTTCAACACAACCGGTCGCAAAAGGGATAACCAATCAGGAAGCATGATTGATAATCGCTTCCCCATGTGCCAAGTTCAAGGTAATCAATATGAACAATGGCAAGCACCTCTGGGGTATTTGCCTAACAAAACAGTACGAAAAAATCCGCAGTATTTGCGAGCATCTCATTGATCAAGTAATTAAGCGACTTTAATATTCTCAAGATTTATAAACAACTAGACTCTAGAAGGAAGCATCTAGACAATACCTGTAATGGTCTCGATAAGCGTGCAGACAATATCTGTAAATCTGTCATTAAGACATGTAGAGAGTGTAAACTTGTCATTAAAACCTGTAGACAACATCTGCAAGCTCATTACATGTAGACAATGTCTGCAAATCTGTCACCGAACATGCAGACAGTATCAGTAAACCCGTCATTATTAAAAAATCTCATCAATGGTTCGAGAAATCGTAAAAACAGAGATTTTCCAAAAAAAAAAAAAAAATAGGTAAGGTGGCAGGATTCGAACCCATAAAAAGTCAATCCTATAAAATAGCAAGTCAGTAACCACTGTCCTGCTGGTTTTAAGACTGTTGCCAGAGGGGAGCGGGTCGAAGACTGCCCGTTCCACGAGAACCTCGACAAGATTCGCATCTGTGTTGATTTTTACCAGCAGCTTATTCACGGCCATTCATTCGATCAATAAACAAAGAAGTATCGCAAATTTGATGGTATTTTAATCGCAGTATAAGCACGCAGCACCAACAGGTAATAAACTTGAATGTTGCGAATAATTATGTACATTTGGGATGGAAAATTATCGTGGAACTCAAATCCAGCCAATACAAACAATTTTAAGCTGTACATTAGGTACAGAGAGGAAGAAGAAAGCGAAGAAAAATAAAAGCAAAGGTATTAAATTACGGTAAGGCTGACGAGGTATAAAGAATAATAGAGTATAGCACCACATTAATGCTCGTGAACACAGAACCAAAAGAGCAAAGAAAAGATGTCTTCAGCCAGTGAGAACAGAGGCGAATATTTGGAGCTAAAGTTGCAAACAGATTAAGGAAGAATACAGAAGAGAAAGAGATATTTAAAACAGTTAAGTTTACGTACATTATAAGTATTACATAAAGCACTGCTAACCAGTACTTCCCTCTATGGACTTGCAAACTAAAAATAATTGGAGATATGGAGGAGAAATAAATATATTAAGTTGATAAATTTGTAGAAAGCCAGGTTGAACACACAGCAGGGGCAGTGAAGGAAATTTTTTCCAGAGAGTCAGACGGAGGAAACTGCAGACGCAGACTCGTTTAGATTAGGTTACTGAAACACGAATGGAACTAAGACGGGACAATAGAAAAATAAATCTCTGCTCCCGTAACTTCAAACACTGAAAATGGAACACCACCAGCAAGGCTCCAACGTTCTAAACAGAAACTCCGAAAACCGGACACCACAAAAATAACTCTTGTTTTTACAGCTCTGGGATAAGGTTGGACAAATAGGTGGGTGGAAATGGTTGGCTCTGAGAAGAACTTGCCTTTTATGGGCCAGCAGGCGTGCTGCAGTGCTCCTCCATTCTTCTCTTTTATAAAATTTCTCCTGTACCTGCAGATACTGAAGACGGGACATCACCAGCACAGCTCTTCTCCTGTAACTACAAACAAGGACACAAGAACAACGGTGGGTGGGTACTCACACAGAGAAGTGGTAGAGGAAGCACTTCCATCCAGTGGGTCGCTCCAAGAAGTTGTACACTCTGCCCTGGAAGGTAGTTTTGACCGTCTTGCGTTCCTTCATGACGTATCTCGCCTCCCACACGGTTCGAGCATCCATCACAGTCGACACCAGACCACCTGCAACACCCCCATCCATCTCGTTATTGCAAAAATGATTGATAACCTACTTAAAAGAAGCCTTTTTTACATAGCTAGCACACGACTCATCTACTATTTCATAAATTTCCCCCAAAAAACTTAACATCTCGAAAATAAAAAACTGTGCCAACAGAAAAGTACATTTAAAAATAACAGTGCCTAGTACGCACTTGCCCTTATGCCCAATTAAGTAATGTTTAAGATTTTCACTTGGGAATAAAAAAAAAAAACAATATCGCTACGGGAACAGATCACAAATAACCCACAATTTGGAGACGATCCTTTAGACGACGTTTTGGGTAGTCGTTGCATTTCATGAAGCACTAAACCCCTGTAGGCTATTCAGGTATTACCAGCTTATAACTTTATAGTGTCCCAGGACAGACCGAAACGTCGTTTAAATTTTCCTCTGCAGACTGTGAGACAGTTGGGACTCCCTTGAGGGGCCTGATACAACATTCTCCTGACAGACATGGAGCGAGGTGGAATAAGTTTGACGTGACAAGTAGGCAACGTATGTCTACACACGTGTGAAACGTTCTGTAACTGTATTATGGAAACGTTTCGCCCACTAGATGCTTTACTAATCACTGGATTGTTAGGAAAAATGGACATGAGTGCAGCCAATGAGAAATAGTCATTATATGCACTTGTGTCCTTTTACCTTAAACACCGAATAATTTTACAAATATTTAAACAATATTAGCACTGATAAAGCCCCTGATGGGCGGAACGCTTGCGTAATAAAGTTTCTTAACGTTTCACAGGAGTTTCTTTTATACATTTCTCGGTAACGAGTAAGTGTAAATAAGGGGGGATATAAACAAGGCGACAAGGATATCTAAACAAGACAGGAGTCGAAACAGTGACTGAAGCCGTGTTGGGTGAGACTTAAAATGGACAGCGTAAAGCACTGACTTGTCAATAGAGTTGTGGATGAGTGGAATAAGCTGTCAACTAGGAAGACAAACACCGTGAACCGCTTGACGAGTGGACTAACGGACACGTAAGTGGGAATATTTGGTTGTGGACCTGTGTACGAAGGACCGGTAGATCTACCACAGTGCTCCATCTTCTAAATAAATATATCTCATCTCAAAATATCCTTATTGTATTTATGGGAGAGAGCCAAACCAGCAAATCTATCACTAAAAAGATGCAGGAAGTCCTCAATTAACGTCGTTTCGTTATAACGCTGATGAGAAAAAGAAATTCACGGCCAGGAATGGAAAATATGGAAAGAAGTAACTCTCCATGTTAGCTAATTTCCATACAAATGAAAGCTTTAAGTTTATTTGAAGATCTCAAGAAAAAACAAGGTTCTAGTGCTGAAAGTGAAACCTTCGTGGCAAGTCGTAGTTGGTTCGAACGTTTTAAGAAACGTTTAAAACTGCATAACATACAAATAACAGGAGAGTCAGCAAGTGCCGACAAAGAAGCCGCAGCTGCTTACCCAGCTTTACTATTGTGTCAATTTCCTTCCTTACGACTGTTTGTATTCGGTTTTTATTATATGTAGCGTCTTCCTTATATAATTCTGAAAAAAATGCGATACCTAAAATAATAAAAATGTCAATAATAGAGTAAATATAGGACTTTATAGCTCCCCAGAGAGACATACTCCACAGTCATGGCTTCTACAGCACTACTGCTCTCCCTCTAGGCTCTTTCTTGCCCTGGCAACTTTATTCTTGTTTATTATAATAAAACAGAAGCGCTAAATCAACAAGGGTCATACAGCAACTCTTGTTTATATCAATTAGCCTATGGTAAAATTGGTTTCGTTATACGTCGTTTCGCAGTTTCCAAGAACCTGTCAACGACGTTAAGTGAAAACTTCCTGTAATCTGTCATCCTATTTCCACCACACAAAAAAAATAAAACAATATCAACTTTTACTGTTTTATTCAAGGGGATTATTATAATCAAATAAAGCGCTAAACCGCCAAGGGTCATGCAGTATTCGAGTGGAGAAATGTTAAACTGATAAAGCTCACAGAGGGCTTGGGAAAGGGGAGGTAATCAGATCGGATCCAAAGAATGAAAAGGTAGCTCCAATTTCTTGGATCGAGATCCTTTCAACACCAAGGCACTTTCTTCCAAGAGTGTCAGCTCTCAACATACTCGTAGGTATGACTCTTAGACTTTGTAAAACACGCACAGCCAAACTTGTTTTGTAACTTAAGAGTCGCTATCAACAGACAAAGGATCGAGCCTGCATTACTCCTTAGACAGAAAAATGATTATAACTATGTTCATAATTTTTAAAGGGGTAGACCGGTAAACCAGCGGAAGGCCTCGGTCAGATGACAAGTGTTTCCTGACAGAGACAGGAAACATTTGTCCTGTTTCCTGACAATTCTTACCTTACCTAACCTCATTACTCCATTGTGGTAAATGATCCATGAGGGTTTAGAGCTAAATGCAGACATTAAAACTCAAAACCAGACTATTTTGTAAGATTATTTAAAACGGGAAAGCGACAAACCCGTTGGTTTCATGTAGCTTCTGGTATATGGGAGGCATTCAGAGTCAATCCAAGGAAAGGGAAGATAAGTCCAATTCCTTGGATCAAGAGTCACCGACCAAGAGAGAGAGAGAGAGAGAGAGAGAGAGAGAGAGAGAGAGAGAGAGAGAGATTAAGGTTGTTCAGTGCTGTTTTCTCACACACCGACCCAATTATACCTGACATTAAGACAACACAGACACTAGCAAGCATATTTTAATCCCTGAACTCGAGACTAAGAAAAACTCTCAATGTATACATAGGAGACACACACCTGTCTGTGTATATACACGCCATGCCAGCGTCCGACCGTGTTTCTCCCACCAAAATCAAACGAAGTATCTGTGTCGGTTCCAAAAGAACGAATCTCAAGTAAGGCGGTGTGGTTCTCGAAGCAGAATGAAGAGCTCCATATACAATTGTTTATACAAGCTATTGAAGTACAAACTTAAACTGAAGTCTGTGCAGTAAAGTGTAATAAAGTTTAAGTCCCCAACTTCAATATTGTGATACATGGATTAAGTTCGTGAATACGTTTTACTGAAATGTGTTTGGGGTGTTCAGTGCGCAGGGAATGAGTTTCGAAGCGAGAGCATCGCGTACCCGTTACTGAAGCGTCAACGAGGGTTTCGCATCTGAGTTATTGAGTGTGAGCACTGACATGAACCTTCCTTGAGGAGGGAAGATATTTCCGACAAGTAAAATTACAGACAACGTTTCGCTCTCTAGAGCTGTATCAAGTCATATTTATACCATGAGCTACGAGGTGTGTGTGTGTGTGTGTATGTGTGTGTGCGTGTGCGTGTCGGAGCATGCGCCTTAACTTAACAAATCCCAGGAATTCACTTGCTTCACCCTGTAATGAGAGACTCGGGGACAAATGATAAGCTTTGTGTGTGTCGTTCAGTGGCTCTTGCCTCATTCAAGCCAACGTAAATTACCATCACCTATCTCTTAAATTATTCTGAAAACAAGTAATTTTACTTACAGGTTGTGTGTGTCCCAATGCTTTTGATGTGTGTGTGAAGAAAAGAAATTTGATTATTAACAACTTAAAATTAACCAATCTGATCTAGACTCTATATATCAACAACAGATAAACGAGTGCAGAATAAAATTTAAAAAAAACTGTTTATGCTGGTGACAGTGGTACAGTTCTTGAAGTCAAGCAGAGGTGCAAAGTACAGTAGAACAGAGGAGCACTGCAGTGGGGTTTAAAAGTATTCTTGACTGGTAGTGAACAGGTGACATGCAGCCTTAATGACCCTCCTGTAGTCGACAGGATCTAACCAACCAGCAGGCGTACTGCATCATGCTAGACAGGTTCTCCTCACAGCCAACCATTCTGCAGAACATGCTGACATAGGTAACACCACTCAAGAAGGATTTAATGTGCTAGAAACACAAGTGCTCTTTAATAAAACATACAAGGTTTTAAAATTATATTAAATATTGCCTTCATTACATGCAATCCTAATGAATAACGTAACACGATTTCAGTCCGAAAAGCAAATTGAGAGAGATGATGAAAGACGGGAAGAAGGGCAGGGATAATAAAAGACGGGAAGAAGGGCAGGAATAATAAAAGACGGGAAGAAAAGCAGGGATAGTATAAGAATGAAAGAGAGGAAGGGATAATAAAAACTGGGAAGGATTGTCACAGTAAAAGACGGGACGAGGGACAAGGTAAAAGGGAACAGGGACCGGGATAATAAAAGACGGAGAGAGAAAAGCGATAATAAAATTGGGAAGAGGGACAGGTGAAATGGGAGAACTGTGTAAACAATGTCAAGCAAACTCCTCGAGGTACGAGCTATTGGTCCTAGCCAAGCCAAACACTGCTGGGTCTACCGTTGCGAGGCTAATCTCTTGACTTATCGTTGCTAACAAGGACACTGTTACTGTCTCACGGGTGGCCGATAGCAATACACACTTACGGTAATATATCTAAACAACTGAACTCTCAAAATGTTAATTAAGATTATGAATACCCCCAAAAATATAATCGGTCACCATTCGAGAATGAAAAATCTCCTTCGAAAGACAGTCGTATCTGATGACTGAGTCACCACACAGCCGACTCGTGTGTGTGTGTGTCAACATCAAATGTGGTTTCGGGTTTTCTAAGGACCCCTAGATTTATATCGTATCGTCGTAGCCAGGAGGACGAGACGTTCAGATACGGAAGAGGCTATACTCTAACATGGCTATTTCTCATGTCTGTATTATAGCATGAATCAGCTGAGGGATTCGCGTCACTGTGTGACAAAAACAACTCTCTAAAAACCTACTCGAAGTGTTCAGGCCGCTTAACTTTTCCTACCTCTTTGTGTGTCTTCCTACCCAAATCCTTCCCTTCCCCATTCTTGCCAACCCTATCCTGGCCTAACATAAAGCAGCTGTCAAGAGAGTAACGTAGCCTCAAGTGTCCAATGCAAGAAAAACATATTTACCCAAGATTCTATTTTTTTCG